TGCTGACGAATCGAGGGGATAGGGGAGAGAGTCGTCTGGAACCACCTGGCATCGACCCCTCCGTTTCCCCCCCAAAAAGGACAACAGTGGTTTGTACAAATGCATCTTGAGTGCTCTTAGTAGTCTGAGCCAGAGAACCCTTGGGTCTTTAGGGTCTGACATCAGAAGAAAAACGGGATCAGGTCCTAATATGATATGAGCACCATGCAAAACTGTGCATGTGAGAGTTTACTCTTGGAGGGGTCTTTCCATGATGTAGGTTGCCCAAAACCCTGTAAAACGATGTAGTGAACTACAAAAATCGATAACTTGAACTATGAGATCATGTTCCACCTAAAATAAGTTGATGACGATTGCCTCAAGTTCCACAACGCTGCGTGCACGCAACGAAGCTAGTGGACTGGGTGGTCACAGGCAAGCTGTTTGCACCATTGGCGCACCACGTGCAAGTAAGCTGTCGTACTGACTGGCTACAAGCAAGTTGCTTACGCCCGTGGCAGGCTGCACAACGCTCGCTTTATTTCTGCAGCCTCCTGCGCAAGGTTTCCTCATGCGGTTTCCGACAAAGATCCCAGTCGTTGATCGATAACCAAATCGATAACGAAATGGTAGCTGTTTGTTGTGCAAAGGCTGCCGTAGTGGTCACCTCCCCACTTAGGTCACGAACATTGATGCCAAAGTTCTCACAAGCTCGCGTGGACCATATGGAAGACAGGTTGGCAATATTCCGCTTGGCAAAGCAGTCAGTGCATCGGTGCTGACAAAAAGGTTTGAAATGAAGTTTCATTCTAGGCACGCGTCCAAGTGGCAACTGCTAGAGAGGGGCCGCTTCCTTTGACAAGGGCTGCCTTTCGGCTGCTTCTCAGCTTTCGTGTCAAAATCTGCGAGGGATGTTCAATCACTCAGAACCCTCTAAAACGAACTACCAAAGCCGACAACCGCATAGAGAAGACGCGTAGTTTGCTTGGAGGCTTTGCCGTCCGCTCATATGTCACCTAAGAGATCCTAAGAGGCTGGTTGGTGGATAACTGCGCGGTAGACCGGTCTGCGACGGTTGCTCCTATCTTCGTTTTTCCGTGCTTTCCCCACTTGCCACAGACTGATTACTGAGGACATTGTGTCTGCCCCCAAAAACGCACATGTAACAAGTGCATCGCTACTAGTCTAGTAGCTAGAAGCTACGAACGTAACGATGCCCTTGTTACTATAGTAGCAGTGCCGCAACCAAACTCCGCCTTGCGTTTGCACTGTGCGACGCCGACGCCTTGCTTGCGTCGAGCGGACGGACCTTTCAGGCCCACCGATGTGCTCGCAGGCATGAAACTCTTCTACGGCGGCCCGGTCGAAGCGTTGACCCGAGCATGGAACATCGCTGGCTGCGAGTTTTCATTCAAAGGAACATCCAAGTTCTATCCTCCTTCAATGGTTTCCACTTGGTATAAGGGTGGTTTTCTTCCTGACATGGAGGAGTGTATATAGATGGCTTTATGTCAGAAAGATGGAGCGCTCCACCATGCTAGAGCCCTCATCCAGACCGCGCTTAATGGTCCATCCCACTTAGTACTCCAAGGTCCAGATGTTACAAGAACCACCCAGAACCCTTGTTAAGAGATGTCAAGAGATCCTGGTAAGTGTTTAAGTGGGACAAGTCCCCTTCTTGTTGACCAACTACTACATATAAGTTTGCAGAACCACCATACACAGGATTTCATTATCCATGTAGAGATTGTAGAGTTCACGAACGACCAATCGAGGTAAATTTGTTGGAGTTTAAAATAGTCTTGGATTCTGATGCCTCATTCTTCTTGCTCAATTACTACTAGCTGGAGCAGATCTGAACGCAGCGAATGGGCCGCGAACAAGGTTCCACGCGAACTGTGCTGAGGCTTGAACCCGGCTTTTATTCTCTCCGTGGCCAATATCACCGATCGGAAGATGAATTTCTTGGGAGATGTCTTCAAGGTTCGCCGGCCGAGAAGATCTTCCTGGTAATGGGATTTACCGATATACCGATATATATACTCTCGACTAGTGACAAAGGAGTTGTAAAACGTATGGTGGGTTTTACAACTCCTTTGTCATGGGTCTTAAAGCATTTTGAGCAATGTACACAACTCCTATGTCATGGACTTTAAAGTAGAGAAACACATCAACACATTGTCACACAAGAATAGCTTTAAAAAAACAGAAAGCTGCCGGAAAAGATGAATAAATGACGTGAGATAGGAGGTGTAAGTACCAGGAGGCATGATGAAACATGATGAGCAGGCCGATTCTTATGTCATTTGTTCTGTGTGCATCAATTCCCCTCCCTCCCTGAAAAATAAATAAATAAAATGCTTGATCATCAGCTGGCGACAATTCCCAAGTCATGAGGCTTGAATCAGCAACTCTGCAATTTTTGTGTTCCCAATGACTTAGGAGTAGTGGGCCCCAACTACTATGTCACTGGCCCACACAAGTCCTAAGTCACCGGTCGGTAGTATATATATATATATACATAGGATATGCCCAAGATATAGCTGGTCGGCAAATCCGAACTTATCACTGCCATCACTGCTTCGCGGTTTGACCTTATCAGCGGTTTTTGCGTGAAGCTGCCCCTATGAGAGGTCCAGCAATGGTTCATTGTGGTAGATTGTGGTAGAAGATGGTAGAAGCGATGAACATCAATAGCTAGGAATTCGATTGAACCATGATTGAAACTCATCGTCTCAGGAAGAGGGCAGCACTGATCGGACTTTGCGAGTGCAAGAGTTTGGCAAGGTTCGAGTTGAGACCAAACGGGAAGGCGAGGACATTCTTGTCGATGCTGCTCACTCTCTGTGGCTCATGTTTCTGCCATTTTCTGCTTGTCCATCACACATCCAAATTAGATGGATCGCAAAACCATAAAAGCCAACATCCAAATGGATCAACCCATGATCAAACCATATGGCCCCAAGAGCATCCTAAAGCACCCAAACGCCCATCCAGTCCAGTACAAACGTATCGTTTTCAGCATCTCATTGAAGACATCATCTTCAGACTCATCTTCAGATCGCTTGCCCTTGCAACAAACATGGAAGTGGACACAACCCCTCTTTGTAAAGGAAACCTCGTCTTCCCAATGCCATCCAAAACGGAATCCCCCTGCCCGGACCCGTGTTCCATCTGCCCGGACCCGGCGTGCCGGAGCCGCTTCGCGAACCCCACCAGGCACCGTGGCCCTGAGTGACGTGGGAACGGTGCTGGGCGAGACGATGTTCCTGGGGATGCGCAGCGTGTCGCAGGCGGGTCGCAGCGTTTGGTTCGAAGGACGGATGGAGCGATTGGAAACCGTCCACGGTGCCGTCCCTAGCTTACAGTCGTTTCAGAGTAGATGGCACAGACCTCAAGATGTCCTTTACATGGAGGTTCATATAAACCACCTCTTGGGGTCTGTGCCATCTACTCTCAATCCACTATATCTATATAATATAAATAAATAGGCACCAACTTAAGTTAAGCAAGGGCTAAGTGGACGAGCCGAGCTACTGTACACAAGATAGCTCACGCTTCTATTTTTCATTTGCTTCTGATATTTTTAGGGAAACTTGCAGTGTGGGGAGTGACAGGGACAGTGTGTAGAGCCTGTAGACATCTGCCAGAGTTGTGTAGAGTTGTTATGCAGATGATTGTGGATGATTACATTGTGGCTATAGATGACTATAGGCCTTAGATCATGTCATGAACAAGCTCGACGCGAGTTTTTCATGTGGACCAGTTGGAGTGACTATAGCTGTTGCAGTGGTTGGAGAATCTGTTTCTTAATCTCTCAGAATCCAAGGGGGTGGGTGGTTGAGCAGGTTTTGTCAAGTTGAATGTAGAATGTAGAACATGTAGAACATGATCGACTTGAAAGGACTTGAACTGCTCGTCAGAATCAGGGTAGGACCGCGGTTCCGACTCGTCATGAAAGACAACCCGTTCGGCAGACTGGTTCGGCACCGGAGGAAACGATCCATGTATCGAGCTGGGGCGGATGTTGGATGTTTGGCGTGTGTTCAGCGTTTTTTCATTTCAACTGATTTAGAAGACCTGGCCTTCACTCTGGCCCACATGCAGGCCACCTTCCGTGCGGCAACACCTTTGTTGGTCATGTTGTGGATACCGCATCATTCCTTCGAGAGCATCATTGACGATGGCTATCCCTCTGATGCTGGGCTCTTCTAGGCTTGGTCTTTGCGAATTTGTATTTGGGGTTCGACCGATTTTCCGTGAGGGTGGTGTTTTGGTTTTCATCGTTAAGGATAACATTTTCTCACTACACCTCGCATGGAGTCCACCGTACGCAACCGAGGAAGGCGCCTACTTCCGCAGCTTGCAGCGGACGGACCAGGGCCGGGAGGACATGAGCCACTATGCACATGATATGAAGCTCTTCCGTGGCTGTGGGCAGAGCTTCTTGGAGGGTCCAAAGCGCTTATTGTTCAACATGTTTCTCAGGTTTCTTTGCCTTCTTTTGCCCTGGCCCTGAACCTTTTTTGCAAGATTTTGTGGGCTTGGGGGAGTTGGTATGATGCCGTACCATCAGAGGTGTGATCCAGGACATTGGCAAGTGCATCCACCGGCAAGCCTATAAGCCTGGCCAGACAATCGTGGTCCAAGCGGCCATTGATGATCGAGCCTGGCTGAAATTCAGTCCATTGTTAATGTCTAGATCGATAATAGACTTCTGATAGATAACATATATATATATAATAAATAATATATATATATATAATATATATATATTATATTATATAACATATGGGTCAATCATAGTCAATCCAATCGCAGTAGGACCAGTTTCTTCTCCCTTTTCGCAGGCAAACTGTCATTCTAATGTTCACATCGCAAGAATAAACAACCCTTACCCCTCGTGGGACTCGTGGTTTATCATTTATGATGTGAATGCAGACTTGCTTCACGCGGGTGTCCAAGCCACATACAGCATTCGAAGGTCTCACATGAACCAATTTGGCGCACCACCATCGACATTGATGCGAAAGTTAATATTTTTGTGATAATTTATGACGTAATGGCCCATGGTGATGCAGAATGTGGCGCTTTCATGTGCTTTCTGGTTGTGTGGTATTTTAATGTATTTTAGGCTCTTCCACACTTGTCTCTGGAAACCTTTGCTTTTCTGCACTTGTCCCTGAAATGTCTGAATGTCTTCACTTTCCCTGGACATATTATTCCCTTTTATGGTCTTAGTCTTTTCCCCCAGAGTTTGTTTCCAGTCACCTCTGTATACTGCATACCAGTTTAATTAATTGGGCCCCCAACAAATTTGGACCATGGATCAGTGTTGTGGAACAGAATGGATCTAAACACAGTGATGCTCGACACCAGGAGAGACTCTGACTTGGTCAGCCAAGGATCACTGTTTCTGGTTACGACTGGGAAGGCAAAAGTCTTCGTCAATGGGAAAGTGCAACCTGAAGAGGAGATCTTCATTGTCTGATTCATGCTGTTGATGGACCAATTGGTGGCTCAAAAAGCAAGACCCAAGAGTTTGCAGCTTTTGGATGGTATTGGGATGCTAAAAAGGTCTTCCCCTTTGAAGCATTGAAGGTCCGTAGGCTTGGGGAGCGAACTTGGATGCACCATCTGAGCCGTTCATCAGAGCCAGGAGCTGTTACCTGGAGATGTGTTTGGTGCCTCGCTCCAAATTTTGGCGAGCTGTCTCCTGTTTCACAAACATGGTCTCCCGAAGAGGATGTACTCCGTGGCAAGCCGGGCAAGCAGCGAGTTTTGTTGCTATGTGCTTTTGGCTCAGTGGAAAGCCATTCGTGAAGCACCAGTATGATCTTCAGACCCTTGATAGACATCATAAAAGCAAGGATCTATCGACTTCACTATACAATCCATGGGTGGGGGGGGGGAGAACTTCCAGATTCCTGACCTGATTTGTTGTTTTTGCGTTCTTGATGACTCCACCGGTTGACCTGAAAACTCCTGCGCCCATCCGAAAAAACGTCCCCGAACCAGCCGCCCTCGCGACCGAGGTCAGCTCGCCCTGCTGGGACTGGTGCTTTTGAGATCTGAGACTTGGACGGACGAGTGCGGCGGAGACGGTACCGGGCGGAGACTTGGGCGATGACCGAGTCCATCTGTTGGCCATGCAGAGGCCATGAGGCCATTCAGGAGAGAGAGAGAGAGAGAGGCGGCTCGTTTTTTGAAGCTTGGGTCGTTTTGACAGATCAACATCGCAGAGTTGACTTCAAGTGGGTCAACGGAAGAGTCAGAAGAGATGTGGAATGAGAGGACATGCCAGATTCATACCAACCATGACTCACGTAGGCATGCATATTACTGCATATTGCGGAATGTTATGTACTGCATATTACTGCACCATACTGCACCCTACTATTACTATGTAATATATTGCACTAAATATGCATGTATGCAGTAGGGTTCTGCACATAATATATTTCGTTTGCGCACCCTTCTGCACCGCAGAACCTCATCACGAGCTCCGCAGCCTACACGGTTACACGCGATCCAACGAGAGTCAAAGCTGGCCCGAGCGGTCCGAGGCCACTGTGGTGGCGAGCACATACTGCAGTTGCTTTAAGTTGCCACGGCAAGCCTTCCTGGATGCCTTGGAGAAGCACCCCGAGGAGCGAGTCACGTATGGAAACTGACGTTCCGAAGCAAGGAGAAGAATAGATTGCTTCGGTCAAGGTCAAAGAGATGGCGCTCAAGATTCTTCAGACCCACCCTGAAAGATGAGCTTACTTCATCTTACTTCCACTTGCGGTCTTACATTCTGTCAAGGTCTTTCATGCTGGTCTCCCCGTTTTAGAGGGAAACACAGACATCCATGTGATAAAGATGTTTCAGTGAATTGCTGAATCAACACCTCAGGGTGTGTGTGTGTGTGTGTTTGGATAGAATTATAGTCCATATAGTTCTTGGACATCAAAGCATTTAAGTCAGAATGGTTAGAGTGAAACTCTGACTGAGACTCAGAGTTTCCGACAGGTACACAACATATTAATATGGTTTCAACATGTTTCAATTTAGTCGAACATGTTCTTCAGCTGATCGATCATAGAAACACATGTCGCATTGTTGAGGAGACTGATCTTTTCGAGCAGCACTATTCTCAGTGCAGGGTTTAATGCTCTTGCCCTTTATGGATTTTTGCTTGACATTCAGCTGTTGGTGCTGGCGCGTCTCATCGAAACCAAGTCGTGTCCCAAGGCTTACGCGTCTACATGCTGTACAAGTCGCCGCGGAGCAGGGTACATGGCCCTTCCTGACCCAGGTTCGCTTGGGCTTGAACTAAGGGGACCGGGGTGTGTCTCCGTTCGATCGGACTGTCAAAGCCACAGCCCTGGGTAAGGGCAAAGAGATGCAAAGAGTTCAAAAGAGCAAAACATCTTGGGCAAACGGGCGCAACGGGCGCTTTGGCACGTCCGCCATGGTTTCCGGCCGTTTTGGCCGTCCAAAGCCACGTGGTCCGCGTGGTCTCCGCGCCCAGGACCCCTCTCGCTTTGTTCATCCATCGCAGGAATCCGAGCGCCTGTGCCTTGGCCGAACGTTGTTTTCGAGCTGACGCGAGAACGACGGAAGACGACGAGAAAGACGACGAGTGACGCACCGAGCGTCACGCACGAGTTCGCAGGCTCTATTATTGGAATCTGCATGCAAATCGGAGGAGTGGCTTGATGGCAAGACGTGGCCACCACAAGCTTGCAGTAAGTTGCGCAGTTGAAAGATAGACAACTTGCGATAATTCACACTCTACGAAACAGCTCGCAAAGCCATATGTGTTCCGTTGACCCCCCTTGGCTGGCTTTTGGTCGGCCTGGTCGGCCTGTTTCCATCGGGACCCTCGAGGTACTCCGCCCGGTGCATGGGTCACAAGAGAAGGAGCCCTGCTGCCGACGGACGTGGCATATCTCTTGGTTTCAGGCAAGGAGGGTCGAGGATCGATGTTGCGAGGGTTCTTGACATGGGTGATTGCAGCGCACGGACGGCGTCGGCACGGCACTGATTTGGGGGGGGAAGTTATATATTAGGTGTTGTACCTATCTTGGGATGGATCATTATAGGTCTGCTTATGGGTGAGTGTCCCCATGTGGGCTCCACTTCTTTCAAGATCGGACGTCTAGAACATCAAACAGAAAAGCCTTCCACATGTGTTGTCAATTCTGCATGTACCCTCCAGAGGTCCTTTGGACTCTTAAGTCATCTTGGGCTCAATTCCCGTTTTATAATATGGGCTTGCCCAAAATGGTGTTTGGATGCCTTTGGGATTTGAGCCAGGAGTTCTGAAGAGGCCGTGGGGTCCCACAAATCAACCGACCGACCTGCCTCCGAAACGCCACACCATGTCTTATAGAATTAATTACATGGCAGTGGGTCAAAACAGCTCGGATTGACCACTGACCACTGAAAATGAAGAATAGACTACCAGGGGGATCCACCTACCAAGGATTAGGGGTGCGGGTTTTTAAAACCCCGTGAAACCCTATCTCCTGCGATCCTTCCTGGATTGGACCAGGCGAAGTCTATGTGACCGAAGAGAGCGGGCATCGGAGCCTGATGACGCCCGGAAGCTGCTTCGGCCCTTTGGGCAGCACGTGAGTCCAGTCGCACGGTCTGGACCGAGTCGCTTTCTTACGAAGAATCAGGTTCACAAGTCCTTTCAGGTTGCGATCGTTCAAGAGAATCGGATCGTTCGGTCTTTAGTCTTGGTGGAAAAGGACTCTGACGGTCGCAAAAAAAGAGGTTCTTCTTTTTGGTGCTTAGAATTTCAGTTCTTTCACAGACTCCTCCTGCCCTGCATTAGATGAATCTCCGACTCTGGACTCCCCGATTTCCAGGCGAGCATGTTCTGATCGGCCTGGCTGCCGGGATAGCTTCCATCGAACCAAAGACTGCTTGCGAAGTCCAGCTGATAGGCCGCGCAGAATTTGATTCTGAGCCTGAATATTGGCGAGGACAGGCAGTTGACCGATATCATCCCCATCCGATTAGATCGGACCATAAAAGACATCTAATGTGATACGTTTGTTATTAGTTAGTCTTTTGGTATGTGAATCATCGTGAAAACTAATATAGGTGAAACTGTTCTGATCTCTGTTTTTGGTCCAGCGCACCGGAGAACAACCGCCACCGGTGTGATTCTTTCTGGGACCTTCAGACTTGAGACCCTGCAAGCCAGCTTCTGAGCCCCGAGCTCCCAGAAGCTACTCGTATCTACGCGTACTCATTTGGTACTACAAAGTCTCACATCCTGTCAAGTCCCATGGGGAAGAGATACGGCTGTGTACTGTTCATAGAGAGAAGCGAGAGGCAGAGGTCTCCCCGACAGGTAGACCCCGAAGCTTCCAGCAAAGTCGTTCCCGCCCAGCACCGCAGAGGTCTCCTTCGTACTGAGCAACACACCCAGTGTTACGCCGTGACCCGGTCACCCCGACCGCAGTGAGCCTCCCATCTTCCCGACCTCGCGCGAGTAAGGAAAAGGTCATGTCCGAGTGCCCGGATGAGCGCGACAGCACGGTGCAGGGCATCCTGGATGAAATGGCCATCAAGGCACAGCAAAAGCTTGGAGTGGAACGAGGCCGGTTAGGGCCTTGCTGGGGGGGGCGGTCCAAGATGGTCCAAGGAAGGGTCGATGGGATTCGATGGGGACATTGTGTCCGGATGTGTCCGGAACGCTACGTTCGTAGCTTCTTGCTTCCTATATTTTAACAGTATGGCTATATATGGCTAGGAGCTATGTTCCTAGCGTCCCTGCTCCGTTCGTAGCGATGCCCTTGGCTACTCGTAGCTTCTTGCTTCGACAGAATTGCTACTTTCAGCTGTGAAGGATCTTCGAACACGAAGAACTGGATGAAATGGGTTTTGTGGATGTTTCTGGGGAATGTCTCACTGGCCATTCGATCGTTGGATCCTTGACCCCCGAGAAAATCTGGTTTTCGGCAGCGCTTCAACAACCCAGAGGGCAGCCTGATCGCTGATCAGGTGGACATATTTATATAGCTAGGACCTGACCTCTCATCAGGTTCACAAACAGTCTGGGTACATACCATTCTGCTGACGGGCAGTGACAATGCGGCAAACGCAGAGCACTTGGCGGTGCACACCAGCTGGCTGTGGCACATTTGCTACGGCCGAGATGCACCGGGGGTTTTGTCTCTCCACCACCATTGTTGGGCCGAGATGCACACAAAAAAAACAAACCGTTTTTCTGCCAGGCTCTCCTCACATCTTGAACCGCTGTGCCTTTTTTCGAGCCGTCCATGAAGACTTCATGAAGCTGATGCGATCCTCGGCAGAACATTCGGCACTGGTTTTCATGACTTGATCGAACAATCCGATGAACACTATCTGTTCACATCCGATCAACACCTAAAGCCCAATCTGCAAAATTTAAGAGCAGTTTTAGAGTTTTATTGCGCCTGGACCGTATTGTTCTTTTTTTTTTCTGGGATCTGAATCGCTCCGGAACTGAAGCCGCCAAGGTCCTCGGATGAAAGCCATGCTGTTCAAGGCACCGTGGACTTGACCGGCGGTTTGAACATCGTGACAGCTTCAGGATGCTTTTGGAAGATGGAGAGACATGGCCCAAGGGTAGAAGTGATGATAATGACAAGTGATTAGAAGAAGTGATCTATGTTCCTCCTTTCAGAGGGTCAAACTGGGAGGATCTGGCAGGTTTTCCAACTCGGTTTGCAGAAACACTAGCCTGGGGGGTCTCACCAATGGGAAAATCTCCCAGATCGACCCCCTGCAAGAAGGAACAGAGATATACATAGATCATCATAGATCAGTTCTACCCTTGGGCTAGCGCAGAATCAAGCGCATGTCATGCGGGCCATTTCTGACATGGTTGCCAGGCTGGTGACTTTATTACCCGCGAACGAGACTATGCAGATCGTATGTTCATCGTATTGAGGCGAAGACTGCGGTGATCTTTGAGATCTGCAGTTTGCATCTGGTGGATATGTGTAAGAGGCCGTTTGGCACGTGGTTAGGACGCTTTAGGATTGTGGGGCGTTGGAAAGCAATGGACAGCAGCTGACTTTTCTCGTCTCCGAATGGGTTCTGCAGTTCCAGGGGAAGTGCAGTGGTCGTGGGAGAAGGCGAAGCGCCGGCGCTTTGCTTCAGAGCAGGCGCGCTTTGCTTCAGGTCCCGTACTCGAAGATGCGAATGTCAAGAGATGATAAGAGGTGGTGCAGTCAAATTCTAAATTTCAGGAGGTGACGAATTCCTCGCGTTCGGGGGGTCAGGGGCAGGCTCAAGATGCGAACGTCCGGGTCTGTGTGTGAAAACCGTTCCGCGGGAGTGCGGGGGAAGCTTGGACTCCGAAGTTCGGGCTGACCCAGACCAGTTTGGCTGAACATCTGAAGTCAAAAACTGCCCCAGTCCGATGTTCTTCATGTCTTCCTCCAGACCATTCTCGCGGCGCCCCAGCACCTCCTCTGCTCCGCGCGGCTGCGCCGCGTGTGCTCCGCACAGCGGGGTGGCAGGAGCCGCGATCTCTGAAGCCTCACTTCTAGGGACATGCACGTTCTATCCCTACGCGGCGCCTGGCAGCAGCTCAAGGGAGGGGCTTGATCGTGGCATCTGTTAGATTTCTCCATAATTGTATAATGACCAGCTTTTATGATATGTTGATCGATATATTTGTTGGTGGAGCACAGGGTGGTTTGAAAAAAAACACCTGCGCCAGCAATTTCTTCAGCCCCTGCCCCCTGCGCACTCCAGAGTTGCAGGGTTTGTCCATCTCTCATGTTAATTGCTTCATCAGTAGAGGTGATACTGAAGATCGGCTTGATCTTGTTTGAGGGCTTCGATTGTTGCTGTCTGATCAGAGCCCATGTGGCCGCTGTTGGCCACCATGCTGTTGGCCACCATGGCTACGTGGCCTCCGTCTTCACAGAACTCCCAGCCGCGCCTCTACACCTGAAGCCCATCTGAAGGGTGGAACATGAACGCAAGAGACCCGGTGGACCCTCTAGGACCGATCCCTGGACCAGGACCGTGTGCTTTGCGGATGGATGGAACCCTCGCCGGATTCAGGATGCTTCGCCATGCTTATCCATGCTTCGCCGCTTCGCCACGACCGAGGTGCGAGCCGAAGACTTATGCTTGGTGCTGTCCTTGCTGCGCAATGACTTCAATGCTGGCGCCCTCAGACTCCCCCACGGGTCGGTGGGTCCGAGTAGACACGACCGTGAAGAAGCGACTGGGGCGGTGGAGCGGGGCGTCCCAATTGGATCTATAAAGCGCGTGTTGATGTTTTGACTAGTGCATGAATGCACATGAACACAAGTTCCTGTGCCAGGAGGTTCTTGAGCAGTTCCCGGCTGAGAGGGAGGTGCTTCTTGCCAGCAAAGATGTGCGGAATTTGCTCGCTGCTCCTGCAATCTAGTAGCTGCGAAGAGGGATTCTGGAGAATCCGTAGTATCAGCACCGTGACAGCTTTTTGTATATAAGCTAGAGCTCACTTACTGTGTATTTGAATTTCAACTGTCATTCTAGTCATGACTGGGCATGTTGTGCCAAATCTGGAAATCTAGTTCCGCTGTTCCAAATTCCGGAAGCGGGCCCCACTGATGGTGATCATCAAAACATATTGTCCAAACATGTCCAAACTCTTTAGCCACCAATTGCGTGGGGTGAACATGGCTTCAATGATCTTCAATGCATATCCTCTGAGACTCTCAGGTGAAGATATGTCCATCCACAAAACCTTTGGATGAATCCCTTTGTTGGACATTGTTGGACTACCGATCACCAGACCATACCAAACCAACCTGGCCATTCTTAACAGCAAAGGGAAGATATGTTTGGGTCCCATCATGGGCAGTAGGTCTTTGTGCTGCTCAGGTTCCGTCAGCTCTTCGCAGATGAAGAGGACCCCCGGGTGGGCGACACAAGGCGACACGGACCGAGGGTGGGGGGCGAACGACTTGGTCCTTGAGATCGAAGGATCCATGGTGATAGAAACACAACTAGTAACAAGCTACTAGTAACAAAGGGCATCGCTACTAGGAGCAAGAAGCTACT